TACATCACCAAAACAGTCTCACCCGATAAATAAGTGGCGTAGGCCGCAAACACGCCTTACTTCCTGGATCCCATTTGCTATGCACGCCCTCTAACCTAGTCTCCTCACCCACGCCGACATCCTCTACTTCCAGTCTTTCCCATTCTGCGCTCACTCTCCTTCCAAACCTGATTCTAAAGTGGTTTCCTTCCCTTTCTACCCCCCCCCGTGCGAAGCAATATAATCCTACTTCTTCACATATACTTTTTGAACTCCAACCTTGTCATGTTGTTATTGACCCCAAATATCAACACTACCAGTACTGCACCTTTCCATTCCCTCCTTCTCCACCCTTTGTGCCTTGTCGTCTCCCTCCTTATCTCTTTCGAGACTATCTCGTTGTTTTTTTTTGATGTAGGATGCTTTCAAATTACTGGGACTTCCCAATCCTAGTACTTGTTGAGGGTCTGGTGTCTTTCATTTCTTTTGCCGGCTCACCAACACTAAAAAGTGCCTCCAACATGGGCTCATCGCCTGGAGCCAAGTTCAACACCCTTAGCACAAGTACCCCAAGTTTGTGCCAGGCGATCTGCATGGTAACCAACCCAAGCGTCCCACGACCGTATCTTCTCTCTACTTGCCCCAGCTGCTGTACTGGGTACTTTCCTCCGGGGAGGTCATTTTCCCCATGTAGGGTTCAAGGGTGGCTTGCATAACAGAAGGTCTCACTCACACATCGGGATGTCCGTCTCCTCCTTGATTTTTATGACATACAAACATAAAAATCTCCTCCTCGTAGACGCCAGAGAGCACTATCTTCCCTGATGGTGGTCTAAGTCGACCCAGGGTTGATAAATGAGCTACGGTCATCAACGTTTGTACGGTACACCATGGGTAGCTACCCCACTAACGCTCCCGAGTAGACCTTCGCTGAAGAAAGCTTGACCAACAGTCCCCCCACACTTTGTACCGGCGTCTATCCTTCAAGCTTCAAAATATCTACGTACCGATTGGTGCTCCTTCTCTTTTGGGTCATTTGGTCGGTCATTTGAAAACAAGGTTCTTGAGTGTGTTAGGTATGACATTTTGTCTTGCATTATCCACCCCTCTCCTTGCGGAGAATTCAGGATAGTGTCTGACCAGATTCCCACCGCCCCATGGGAACCGGTGATGTTTTACGGTTATCTCACCACGAGTAGTGTTTTACGGTTATCTCACCACGAGTCCCCAACCTTCATGTGAATCGCACAGTTGACCAAAAGGATTGCTGTGTCTATATTTATGCTTCGTTTCCGTTTTCGTGTTGTGTGTAAGGTGGCCAATAACCTTCTACTCTTGCTTACTTTTGCGTTTTCAACTTTGAAAAGGAAAAAGAAAAATGGTAAGCGTGTGGAAATTTTTTTCGTTGAATTCTCAGTTATTTCATATCTGGCTTGTCATGTTTGTGGTACTTTATGAGAAAATAAAAGGTCGGTTAGTTCAGCTCCTTCATGTCTGGCTTGGCGGGTTTGTGTTACGGTATCGGAAAAATAAAAAGTCGGTTAGTTCAGTTTTTCCATGTCTGGCTCGTCAGGTTTGTGTTACGGTATGGGAAATAAAAGTCGGTTAGTTCAGTTTTTCCATGTCTAGCTTGTCAGGTTTATGTTACGGTATGGGAAAATAAAAGGTCGGTTAGTTCAGCTCTTTCATGTCTGGCTTGGCG